GTCCTATCTCTACTGATAAGAATTTTACAGCCCTCGGAATGTGGGTATGGAAATTTGATTTTTTTGTAATAACTTGGGAACTATTTGACCAAATATTATAAAATTTGGAACATTTCCCTGTGACAACATACCCTTTAAACTGGTAATCACGAGAACCGAGATACATTCATTCAATTTACGGTTCCAGCAGTTGCAGGTCACATTTTCTGTGTTTTTCCATTTTTTTGCTCTCTTAACACCAATTTTTTATTGCCCAAATCGATAGAGTAATCAATTTCGATTAAAAAATGCATAACCTTTAATACTCCTGAAATGGACCGTTTCAAAGATATTTTAATTTAAACTGAGGACTGCACAACGCTGAAATCAAAAAATAGGGATTTTGAATAAATGGTATCCACGGCAACCAATGACCATGGTCACATAAATCCCTGCCAGGCATCTGTTAACTTTGACAATAAATTTTTGTGAATTTTTTATGAATTAAATGCTACGAGATCCATTTGGATTTATTCTAAGTTATGTTTGGAATCTGAGGTAAACTCTTTTATTAAATATTTTCGATTAATTGTCTAATAATCGTCCAATGTCAAAGTTGACAGATGCCTGACAGCGATTAGTGAGATCATGGTCATTTGTTACCGTGGATATCATCCATTCAAAATCCCTACTTTTTGGTTTCAGCGTTGTGCAGTCCTCAGTTTAAATTAAAATATCTTTGAAACGGTCCATTTCAGGAGTATTAAAGGTTATGCATTTTTTAATCGAAATTGATTACTCTATCGATTTGGGCAATAAAAAATTGGTGTTAAGAGAGCAAAAAAATGGAAAAACACAGAAAATGTGACCTGCAACTGCTGGAACCGGAAATTGAGTGGGTGTATCCGGTTTTCGTGATTACCAGTTTAAAGGGTATGTTGTCACAGGGAAATGTTCCAAATTTTATAATATTTGGTCAAATAAAAGTTATTACAAAAAAACAAATTTCCATACCCACATTCCAAGGGCTGTAAAATTCTTATCAGTAGAGATAGGACACGAGTTATTATTTAAATTAACATCATTTTATAGGTCATTTTTGAGGTTCAAATATTGCTTCATATTTATGAATAACCCTGTATATGATACAATTATACTTTCAAATTTCTCTTTCATTTTTATTATAAAAGAAATAAACGAGATAATTTTAGACAACAAATTATTATTTATTAAATATGTTTTGTCCGAATTGAACTTTATAATGTTCTTGTTTGGAAACAATCAAAATCAAATTGAAAATAATAGGACACTTCTGATAAATATTTCGAAAGCATTTTATAAAGTCTCAATTATTTATCAACTGGATTTTTTTAACTATTGAGCCTGTCAGAAAGTGTAATTATTATTTGTAAAATATGAACTGTGTATTATTAACACTTTCGGGAAAATTCTTCTTGACTATGAGCTTAAAGTTTGTGAAAACTTTGTGCAAGTTTGCGATCACAAGTCAAATATCAACAAAACCGGCTTCGCCTAATATAATTTTATTAAACATGCTGCTCCGAACTTATAAGTTTGATGCTTATTTTAGTGTCAGGAATAGATTTTATTCACAGTCACTAATGTAATATGCAATATGTAATATTTTAAAGGTTGGGTAAAACATCATTAAATCTCATGAGGAGTAATAATATTACTTCTCTTGGGCGGTAATGTGTAGGATAGCCAACCTTAAAATTACAAAAATACCGGAAATTTTTTCTTTCAAATTGTCAAGTTACGCATAATATTTTGCTAAATTAGTATTCAATTGCTTTTGTAGCAGTTTCTCTTACTAGGGAATACACTGCCCCATTTCGACGATTTTAAGTCAGATGCACACATTATTTCAATATTTTCTTTGACATTTTTGAAATGTCAAAAATCAAACGCCATTTGGATGGCCTACCACGTTTGGACCTTAACTTTGTTAGAATTTTATTTTGCTCAAATTTTTGACTGAAAATAATGTGATTGTGAATAAAATAGCATACAAACCTCGGTGGTAATGGCATTACCCCTTGTGCTTTATCCGATCTCGAGGTTGGCGGCTCTCGATCGTATACATAAGCACTCGGGGTAATGCCATATTTACCACCTCGCATGTAATGTACTAATACGTTATTCGATGAAATAGGTATGTCCATATTCCTAGGATTATTTCTGTGTGTTAATTTATATCAAGTTGCGTTGTTGTAACATTTAATATGACATTATGGCTTGTGCATGAATAACCTTTTTGCTATCATTTTATCTAATCGTGCGTATCTATCGATATCCAGACAAGCTGCACAAATCCTTCAGTTTCAGGAGATTCTGAAAGGGAGACATCAATTCAAGCAGAAGATTTTCGTTTTCAAATACAGGGCTATATGCATATCTATGTCGTTTAGACGTGCTATATACAAAATGACTGTTGATCCTTGAAAGTAAGTTATACACCAGTCGCCGATACTGCAATTTTAGATGTCTCCGGATTTCCAATTTGGAATTTTGTGTGAAACACTTTCGGGTGGAATGATGATAATAATGCGGCGAGATCTTGATCTGCCTTTTCAATTTGTATACCTTCAATTTGGATCCGTGATGTAGTGCATAACATAGAGTGATCTTGAGCTGGACTGCTTTGCATATCAATCCAAGCAGTGGCCGCAATGAATATTTTACAGCATGTCCTTAAATAAGCATCACAACCACAACACGTCTGGTGAAACCCAATCACATTATACTTTATAATTTAATGGTCACTTTTTGGGGATGGTTTTTAAAACCATGACACCTTTATAGCAATTGGCGATAGTCTATGCATGACACTGTTGGTGGTGGTGGCAGCAGAAAACTTCATTAAATCATTTCGAAGCACGTGAAGCGACCTCATTTTCTCCAACAACTTTATTATTTATCAGGTTGCTACTTATGACGCCGTAACTTATGCATCAACGTCATCCAGTTCCCTAATTATAATTTAATACACCGCCGCTTGTACCATGCATGTTTTGGAATGATAGTTTATCAGCCATACGCCCACAGATTAAAGGCCAACGTGTCATTTACATTAGAATCTCTTTCTCGTAGCTATGCAAATTCTGAGAGCTACTATTACATAACTGATCCAAAATTAGCTAATTTCGGGGTTTTAGAACTGTATTAGTATGCAAGCTGGTCATCTGCTGCAGAGTATCGATCAACACTTCCGTGAGGAGCTCCTTAATATACCAAGTTCACTCTCAGAGTAGATGTCATTATAAACCCGCAGAGCTATTCAAAGAGATTCTCATACGACTTATTTACTCCATCTCAAACATCAAGATATGCTTAATAGTCGTCAAACCTGCAAAAACTTGCGCTGAGAGCTTTTAACAGCACCGCTGTCGTATGCGAAACCGCTCGTAAATATTATATAAAAAAATTGCAAATGTATGGACAGCAGGACAAAAACTTGGATGTGTGTTTACCGAAATGCAGTGCGAATTATAGTTAAAGGCTGATGTAAATTAATTCAGCTACAAAAACAAATTTTATGCTGAGGACAACCAAATACGTAATAAATTAATAATAATGTTCACGTAGTAAAAAATAGATTTTAATAAGTATCTGAAATTTTGCCTTTATTAGGTTTCTATTTCTTATTAAACTTCGGAGAGTTTCATTTTATTTTCAGAAAAAATGGTAATAAATACATATATTTTAATATCATTTGTTTTTGTCTTTTCACATCTTTTACTAAGGTAAAATTTCTAATTGGGAATTATTAAAATATTGTCAGATAAAGTTAATTTGTTACTGGAGAATTTCTCTGCTTCGTGAGACATTTAGAATGCGCGTCTTCTAGCAAATCAGAATATCTGTCAAAGGGATATAGTTCTGAAAGATATTTTTATGTAAATTTGTTAATATTTTTCTTTATTTCTTCAGTGTGTGTATAAACATTACGTTTTATTTATAACATGGCTAAAGAAATGTAGTACATGCAATTGTGCTGAGTTTCAATTTGTAATTGTTTTTATTTTATTTATTTTTAAATTTACTGTAAAATAATGTTCGGAATGAAAAGCTTTTTACGTTATTTTAATTGTTTTTACGTTTCCATGAACAAAAACACGATTAGCCCGTCACACCAAACTTTTATTTTAATAGCACAACGCGTTTCGACCACAAAGTGGTCATCCTCAGGTGAGAATAAAACTGTTTTATTCTCACCTGAGGATGACCACTTTGTGGTCGAAACGCGTTGTGCTATTAAAATAAAAGTTTGGTGTGACGGGCTAATCGTGTTTTTGTTCATCGTTTCCATACCAAGAAGATCCAAGAAGAAGAAAAATTTACGTTTCCAAGTTGTTAAAAATGCGTTTTTAAACAACTCATATAACATTGAAGATAGGAGATTGTAACCTTTAACATTTCAAGTCTACGAGATTATGATTGTTCCATCATCTGTTATTGTCATCTAGAATCTCGTGTGAACCCAACTTTCATCAATTTAAAATTCTCATGATTTTTTAAAGATTTCAGTCGCGATATTTACGAAAACACAGACACGACCATTTATCAAAATAAACTAAGACTAAATCTTTCAGTTTCGTTTTTCGTTAATCAGCCAAATTAAGGCTGAGTCAAACCTAGCAATAAAGCGCAGTTTCTGTATTATCGGAACCAGATTCTAAGTTATTGTCGGTAGCCTAAGGGTTGGTGTAGTAAACAACCCTTTAGATGTTACATACTATAATATTTGGCAAAAATAGCATTGATCTCCGGTAAAACAAACAATGGAAAACAAAATTTATTAATAATTCTCGAACTGTTAAGTGCCTTAATTAAATTGAAATAAATCTGAGGTCCGGGAAAATTTTCGAATCCCTCGTCAAAAAGGGCTGGTGGCCACATCAATAAGTCGACTGAAAATCGGTTGGATTCGCCTTGTTCCGTTTCAGTTCGTTTACCGTTTCGAGGCGCTGCAGTCAATAGCTTCAGCGCCTTACCGGAGGAAAGATCGTTCCGGGCTTAATATCACCGGATTCGAATAAGTCGCACCATCATCGGTAATTGTTTACGATCCAACTTCCGCGCCGTTTCCTCCGCAAGATTCGCATAAATCAGTGCTGCACAAGACGGGTCTTAAGATTGAGACGTGATGTTTTTTGGCGAATATTTTCTCAGTTGTGTTAATTAGAGGATCTGTGGTGATGTGCTCTATAAATCAAGTTGTGACATGTGCGATTGATTCTGATTAGGGAACTAATGCAGGTGGGCACGGGGATAAAGTCCGGAAACGTGTAACTATCGGCTTCACAACGGTAAGTGCGATTTTATCCAATTTGGATCACTATTTAAATTAATTTAATTATGTTTTTGCCAAACATTAACACTTTTATTGGTTTGAACAAAACATCGATTCGCCGACGCTGTCGCAAAAGTTGACTAAATGTCAACTGTTATATTTTGGGCAAAGGACAAAATTATGGCACAGATGGGGGAGAAATCAGTTGGACGGTTTCAACCTTAGGCGCGCAATAGGTGTCTAACAAGTAATCAAAATTTTACGATTTGCTATATGACACTAAAAATGAAACATTTTAATAGGACATTTTTATTTTATGCGTTTAATTTCAGTGGTGAATTTAAAACCTTAATTTCCGTATGTGCTTAAACTTGTTGCAATTTCAAATTGTTAACATTAATGTTTTTAGTGTAATTGATGGAAATTTTGTATAATTTTGCGCTTAGCTAAAGCCAGTTTGAATAATCGACTGCAGACAATTTGCACCTATTCTCGATTTATCGCCAATTTCTTGTATTAGTCTAGAATGGGATTAGCAATGGCAGAATTGCATTATTGACTAGGAAGTGATGCTGCAATGCGCTGTTAAAACCTGTTGGAGTTTGATTTCAGCATATCGAATAATTGACAAGATTATCATGAGCATTGTGGTATCTGGAGGTAGTTTTACGGCATTTCAGATGGTTTTCCAACATCCTAAGACAACGTCTTATTTTGGAAAAAGTACTTTTGAAATATTTTATTACATTTTGTATTATCAATTGTTAGAAACTATTTAAACGTTTATTAGAGACCAAATTATTGGATCTGTGTTACTAAAGTTTAATTTGTTTTGTATCTAACAGTTGCGAAATATTTATAAAATGAAAATATACTCATCATACGAGAATACGTTTGTTCATTAACAAAAAACGTACATTTTGGTTTAGACTTAAAATTGAAATTATTGATTTACAGTTTTATATACCAAAAGTTATGAAAAAAAAAAACAAGATTTGTTATATCTCTACATTAACGTATATTTATAAATTACTGAATTCATGCATATGTACGTAGCATTATTTGTTGCGTGTTTTTTTAGCAACTCACAAAAACATATCAGTTTAAAACGTCAGTTGAGTTGTTATTCTTTGTAAAACTAAAAACCTAATAAAAACCAGTAGTTTAAAATGGTGGATGCGCCGGGTGAGATAAATTATTATTTTAGTGAGAAATGTAACTTCCAATTTAGTTGATACCATTACATAAAAGGCAATACGTATATTTATTTTTTTAAGATGTACTTTTATTTAAATCTATAATTAATTATAATTACCTTAAAAATAACCAGAAAAAATTTATGTTAATGTATAAAAAAAACAACATTTTATTAAATAATAAGCATTTCAGCAAAATATGGGTATTTTTGTGACAGATTTGCAGTACGTTGCTCTTTATTTAATTAGTTAGTGCTGATTTATTTATTTATCGCTAACGTCTTGCTTTAGTTTAAAATGAAATTAACAACACAGAATTGCATTATCGAGTAGAAAAGCAGTTGGTAGGTACGAGTATTGCTTTGTTCAATCTTTTTAGATTAAGAGTTTCATGATGTTAAAAACTAATTAGGTAACTAAATAATATTAGAAATGATTGATACTTCTGAAGCTTAAAAAAACTTTTTAATGAACGATATTATACACTAAACTGTTTTTAAAAACAATACTGGTAAAATTGTGAATATAACGTCTTCAGTTCCAAGTAACACGGTTGAAAAATAATTAGTAGAGAACTTGTAGGAATTAAAACAACGACTGTTATGTAACATTTCGTCTATTAACCATTGTAACAATTCCTTTGAATAATTACAATAATTAAAACACGTAACATCTTTTTTGGCTAAACAATTAATACTGTTAAATTAATGTTAAACAACTTCTCACAATGTTATTGTTATTTGAAAGTATTTGTAGACCGTTGTAATTAAGTCCTTAATATGGAAATTTATTCCGCTAGACTTGGTATGTATCTAGGACTCCTGTTTATTTTACATAAATCATAGTTTGTTTTGTTAATAAAAGTGTGAAGCAAGTTTTTATTTTTTATATTAATCACTTTATTGTTAGAATTGGACATGGAATTGACAATCGCTTGTCACAATTTATAGAATCTCACCCAACTTCCTAACCAGGGACAAACAAAAAAGCAAAAAAAAAACAGTTTATAAAGAAAGAATCTTGATTGATTTATTCGAAACTTTAACTTAAACTTAATTTCTTTGTTACATTTAAATGCCGCAGAAAAAAATATACACGAACAAAAAGCATTACGGAAATCTTGAAAAATTTGCAGATATTTTTTATTGAAAATAAACTGTACTTAGCTAGAAACAATTGGGTAAAAGCTTTCTAAGTGCTTTGAATGTTATTCAAAAAGTAATTAAAATTCACAAAACTGACCAATTTAAAATAATTTTTAAAATATACTACCAGACCGAGTTATCTCTGGGACTGGGAGTGTCAAGATAGCTTGTTATAACCGAAGTTTTTTATTTGTTGCTTCAACGTGGCTTTCTTTTTAAGCTTTTTAGAACAAATGACATGGCACAGGGGGAAGTCCTAATTGCTAGTGTTGACGCTCGAAGGAGCACGACACTTAAATCGTTATAGGAAATTGATTTGTCATTGATCTTAAAGAACTTTTGTTAACGGCCAACTTTTAAAAAAATATTGTATGCAAATTTTCTTAAAATGCTCACAAGTGTATTAACAGTTTATAAAGGAACGTATATTAAAATCGCTGCAAAAATTATAAAATAATTAATTAAAAACAAATGTCTAGCATACTAAATCGTTACGTTTAATGAAAATGAAAAAACAGTAACGACATACTGCAGTGACTAGGCATAAAATTATAATGATGTTCATTGAAATGTTATCAATGCTGACTTTTAGTCTTGATATTTAAAGTACATGACCACTTTTGATTCACCTGCTCTTGTATGATTAGAACTAATTTCTTTCCTCAAAAAATATGTGGATTGCAAAGAGCAATGGCAAATCTTCCTTTTTTCAAATGTGTAATATATAATTTTATATGATAACTTAAGTATTCCGTTAATATCTTTTTTTGTATTTTTTTTTGTGTTTTTGTGTTTTGTTATGATTTACCTACATGTAGGGTAAAAAGTAAAGCTCACTGCTTTTTTCAACGTGTTGACAGTGAAATATAAAGTAAGTTTGTAATATAAAATACTTTGTTTACCTAAAATTAAGAACTAAGAATTTATTAAAAATTGTTGGATAAAATATTTCAGCAAAAATTAAGCTGTAACAATATTATTAAAATGTGAAAAATAGCGGATGCGCCGGGTTTGTATGAAATAATCGCAAAAATATGATTTGTAGCAATATTATTGTTTCAATGCTTGATTTGATTTTGTTTTGTTCATTTTTTACATTAAAATAGTTAATTACGTATTGTCTTAGGAAAGTTTTGAATATTACTAATTTTAGTGTCTAATTATAACTACATTATACAGAGTGCTTACGCCTTTAGGCTTGAAATTTAAATGAGATGACGGTAGAAGAAAACTAATACGCTATATAAAACAAAAATTTACGTGTAAAAAGGAAATAATTCATTTTATGTTATTTGTTTGAGAACTGCTGCTTCGGCTGTAACAATGGTCATTAGTATCATTAGTCATTACCTTGTGTTTCACCGTAAATCATAATCACGACAACTAATTTATTATTTTAATATTTTTTGTCGTCCATGTTCATAAATTTGGAAAAAAGTTAAGAAAAACGAATCAAACCTATTGGAAACCATTTCGCTGGAACAGATTAAACTGAAGATCTTCGAATTTTGATAAAAACTAAAGAAAAAACAAATCAAATGGTGATAGTGTCAAAACTATGAAGTGACTTTTTTCTTTCATTGTCACAGATACAGTTTTTTTATTTGTTGCAACAATACAATTTGGAAATAATTTCAGCGACCCTCGAACCGTGTACCAATTTTTTGGAGTTAAATAACATTTTTAATAATAAAAAATGTGTGAGTTTTTTTTCTCTATTACAGTATTTCTAAACTCTTCTATTACTAGGTCACATTCCAACTCCAATGCCGTAAACACCTTGTATATTAATTACTTTCAGTAAGATTATGTATGCACTGCTACATAATTACATTATTATCGTACTTACTTAGGTAACAACTTCAATAATGAGATCATAAAAGTTGAACTAAACAACAGTTTATTAACACCTTGCAGTAAGAAGAGATTTACAAGTATGTGCATAAATTATTTTATGGCTAAAGTTGATAAATGTATCTTTGTTATTAAACAATATTTGTCAAATTTAAGTAGAAACTGATGAGACCAACAACCCACACTCAAAACGAAGAAATAAATAAATTAAACTATGCAAATGATAGAATGGGGTCAGTAACAAAATATGATGTCTAGAAAACATTAGGGTTTAAAATGATGAACCCATAAGTTAGTACATGCGCATATGTGTTCCGACCTTTGAGGCATATGATATGGTTTTTATGGAACACTCTGTGCTGTTACAAAATAATACCTATCAGTATAATACATCACACTATCAGTGTTTCCAATAGGAGCACAGAACGAGGCTTCTCCACCGACATTGTTAAATTAATTGGTGATGTCAAATTCCATGTCCTTCATTTATTTACAAGTTATAAATGAACTGACAATGAGAATTATATCGGCATGTCAAATATTGTGACAGGGCTTAACACTTCAACAGCCACTTCTCCGTAGATGAGTGCGTTGGAGTTGTTGCGCAATTCAGGCTACTTCAGTCATTTTTAATTAAAAATTATCCACAAAAATAAACATACCGAAGTGTGGTTTAGCGCTCTATGAAAATATTTATTAACGTTGGAGTAAGTTTGTGATTCATTAGTTTATTTTGAAGAGAAGCAAAATAAATATATGTGAAAAACAAGCAATTCCTAAATTAGGTTTTGCACATGTAACTTTTTAGATAATACTAAAAC